GGGGTGGGTCGCGCTGTCCAATCTGTCACTGCGCACTCTTTTGCCAGTGTTACATCTGGCGCGTAGCCTCTATGCCTATCGGTGTGCCGTGTTCTATTTCCAGTGTTGGCAATGAGGAACGCATTGCCAATGCACCATTGCACGATGGTATCACCTCTAGGCTCAGGCGGGGCTTCGTGGTTTCATGCCAATGCATTTGCATTGGCGTCAGCACCAATGCGCTGTGGCCCGTCTTTGTTGAGTCTATCGAGTTCCTCTGGGGTGATCTTGGTGGCGACAGGGGGAAGGTATGCTGATGAAATCGTCAGCTGCATACCTGCATCCAGATGAATGGCCACTTGTTCAAGTTCAATGCCTGCCACAAGCGCCGGTCCTGTCTCTACCTGTGTCTCATCCCTGGTGGGGATTGTTACACCTCCGCCACGGCTGGCGCAAGCTATCCCATAATGTTGAAACCCAGGGGGTCCAAAACTAGCTGCTTCAGGGGGGGGGGGCATTTTTGCCCCACTCAGTAAACAGAACGCGATGTTATCATCGCAGGGTCGTTTGCCCAAGGCTAGGCGTTTGGCCTGTGTTAGCCCAGCTGAATTCCATTGCACGCCCCTCAATGTAGGGCCGGAATTCCCTTCCACATTTCCACTAAGAAGTAAATTGGTGCGGTTGTCTTTTTCGGTCTTGGGGCGCGTGTTTCCGCGCCGTCGGCAGTACCATTGCGGTGTCCCAGCGGGGCGTGGCGGGTCCTGGTGCTGCGGGGTGCTGTAAGCCTGGCGCCGCAATGTTCTCCAGGTGGCGAACTTTGTTGGAGCATGGCTTCCCCCGACAATACGGGGCACTGGGCCTTGGTACTAAGATGGGGTGGCCGGCATCACCAAGGGGTTGAGCACCTGGTTTCTTGGAGTGGGGAATCCAATGCCATGCGCCATAGGTGTCCCGTGGGCGGCGCCATGGTCCGGATAGAACGCGACTTGGCTCTCCAGGGATCGAGCGGAAAGCCTAACCGGAGACCGCTCCCTGAGACGCCGTGTTGCTGGTGTCGCCCCCGCCCGTGGGTTGAAGGATCTCCATGACTAGGGGGGCTTTAGTGGGTATGGGTGGGTTCTTCCACCGCGGAGTCCCACATAATTTGCCCTAACACGGCAGATATGCGCAAATGCATTTCCTCTTTCCTCCTTCGGGCAGCGGCAAAGAAGCCATAAAATCGCACTAGCAAGAAATTTTTTTTTTTTACCATTAAAGAACGATAACCAAATTAAGTTGAAATTCTCCGCTGTAACCTACTCAAAAGTTTTTGATTGGTAAGAACGACAATACGAGAAACCCTTTTTCTGCCAAAAAAAAAAGTTTCGAAAACAGAAGGCGCCGCTAGACGATGAAACCATCAGCCGAAAAAATGGAGAAGTTGGGTATCGATCCCAATGCCTCCCGCATGCTAAGCGGGCGCTCTACCATCTGAGCTACATCCCCACGTCAGCGTGACCTTTTCACTCATTGAATACTACATGAAAAGACAGATGCAATTCGGGGGAAAGAGTTGATTTTTTTGGCATTTCAGAGAAAGCGGCGAAAGTGGAAATGCATTGGAAAGGGGCCGGCGTCATACCGCATGCCCCCCTCCAAAAAACACCACACTCTAAAAAACAACCAGNGCGAAAGTGGAAATGCATTGGAAAGGGGCCGGCGTCATACCGCATGCCCCCCTCCAAAAAACACCACACTCTAAAAAACAACCAGTATTCTCTCACTTTCTATTTCCGGGGGCCGGAGGATAGACCAAGAAACCTCACCCATCGCCTTCTTGGCTGCACCGGTTGGGCTGCAGCAGCTGGGCGGAAATACTTGAGAAGGTGGAACGGTTCTCTGCTTCGCTTTGGCCGACAGCGCCAACACATCCCGACATTACCCAAAATGTCTGTAGTAGAATTTGCTTAACAATGCAAGGTGCTGGTAATTCGGCCATCGCTATAGCACAATGCCCTAAAGAGCGGCAGTGCCTTGAACCGAGTTTGTTCGCAAATAGCTTCCCCCCCACACAAAAAAAAAAAAAATAGAATAAACAATAAAAGCACCACCGAACTAAATACCAGCAAGGCGATAAGGCGTTCAGCATTTCCAAAGGGGGGGCTGTTTTCTCGACCTCAGAAAGATATTTACCCTGCGGCACGATTGCGGCACACCCCCGTGCCACGGGTGGTCTTTGCGGTGGCCCGCGGGCCTTTGGATATGGCAATCCTGGGGCTACAAAAAAATTGCCGCTAGGATTGAAATGCAGCAGGTGATGCCTTTTTTTTTGGGAGGAAACGACTCAGACAATCTGCCACAGAAAGGATTGGAGGGTG